CATACCTTTTGAGTTTATCAACTAAAATAATCACTAATCAGAAAACTTACCAAGGTATCCCCTTTTCCCGTTCTCTCTTACGTCTAGGAGATCGTCACGAGTCATATATCCTTGTAATGTACTTTGACATACGAGATGAATTCGGATCTAAGGGAAACATGGTCTAATAAATCGTCACTTCTCATGGAAACATGGTCCATCACAAGTCTTTTTACCCGTTGGTTCCATTCTTATAACGGGACTCAAACCTGTCAAAGTAATAGTGCTTAAATTTTGGAGGAGCTCTCTATATAAGCCTCCACGCTCTGAACAACACATCTCAAGGGGATTGTTTTCAACTATATGATAAAGCATAACATAACGTCGAATGGATTCAAATTCTAAGCGACATATAATCGATCTTATGAATCATCACTTCTCACAAGCCTTCCCCCCATCACAAGTCTCTTTACCGTAGGCTCCATTCTCTTATGTAATCACTAAGGATAACGTGATTGTATTCAACAATCACAAGGCATCACATTCACCTTAACCATAAATAATACAAAGCATACATGTTACATATAAAGCTCTCCTTGCGACTAGGCAACTACTTGCTAATGATACACACCTAGGCATTATTGCACAAGCATTGTCATATATGTTACTCATCATGTGCTAATCACTTTACTAGTTATTCCATTAATTAATATCAATGGTTTTCCTCATCATTCTTATAGTCTTTTAAGCATGTTATCACACAATCAAAATACCCATGTATACATCATGCATTACACATAAGGTACATATATTAACATAATTTAGTCGAGCATAATTAATGCACCTAAGACATAAAATCAACATAGATAGGTCTTTCAGAGCCAAACCCCTAAACAAATAGGACTTTCGGAACAAAGGTCCTTCACTAAAATATCAAACCATTCACATGGTGGTCACCATAACACTAAGTGTTCTTCTTCACTTTTCACATATTTTATCATTATATATATCAACCAATTATTCATGGTAAATATGCATAACTATCCTCAATAATCACGTGAAATAATCCATATCATAATAAGCCATGCACAAGAAGTAACCAAACAAGTAAATAAACAAAAGAGAACAAAACTTCCAGGCTCATTGTGCGAGCTCTGGGCGAGGTCGCCTCACTTTGAGTTCGTTATGCGAGCTTTAGGTGAGACAGAGGATTTTGGAGGCAGTAGCAAAAATATTTAGTGGTTGTTGTGCTACCTCTAAGCAAGGTCTCGCCTTCACCTCGCTGGAGGCTCGCTATGCAAGTATAGCGGACTGTCACGCTCGTTGCTAGTTTGTTGGAAGCTTGATGTGTGACTCATGCAAAATTCATAATCCCAACAGCGTAAAAATGAAAGCAACCATGGCCAAAACCTTAACCCATACCACCAAAACACATCCAAACATCCCAACAAACATGGTATAACATGATTTAGGCATGAAATTCATCAAAATAACATGTATCAACATCAAATTCACATTTAACCATATTTTCACACAAATCCTAACCCTCCCAATATTCTCCAACTTTCCTCCAAAAGCTATACTATCTAATGGAACTCACCTAGAAGATAAAGTTAACAAGATGGATTTATGATGATGAATTCCTCTTCTTCCTCTTCCATGAGTTTCTTCTCCTATTCTTCTCCTTTTCTTTTATCTTCCTCTTTTCTTCTTTCTCTCTTCTTACCAACTTTCTTCTTTCTCTTATTTTCTAACAAATCTATATGTATACATATAATATATAATAATAGTTAATGACATTAATACCTCCCTTTAATATTTTATCATCTAACACCAATTGACCAAATATTAGAGTTACCAAAATATCTTATCTTATACTTATTAATATTACTCTGTCTCTTTCATCCATAATTGATCTCTTCAGAGTTCACTACTTACTCTATTGATCCTAATCGATGACATTTAGAGTACTTAAGAGCTTCAATTATTTCAACTGACATAAGTTAGAGTGCATAGGAACTCAGTTGATTCCAACTGACACCCAATTGAGCATTTAAGGGAAATATGAGGTATTACACTTTTTCTTTACCAAAAGTACTGGAGCTCCCCATGGGGAAACAATTTGCCTAATGAGTCCTTTATCCAGCAAGTCTTTCAATTTTTCCCTAAGATCTTTCAGTTTTTTTAGTGCCATACGATACGGTGCAATGGAAATGAGTCAATTTCCCAAGTGTAAGTCAATGAAGAATTCAATGTCTCTTACTGGTGGTAAACCTGGAATCTCCTTGGAAAACACATCCTAAAAGTATTGAGTTACTAACATGTCTTTAACCCCAAGTTCGGCAATCACCTTTGTACTAGCAAGTATCGAGGAGTCAAAGGTTCCATTCTTTAGAGAAAGTTTGAGTTGGTTAGCTGATAGGTATTTAACAACCCATGGCTTAGGTAAAATGACCAACTTTCAAGCATAATCTAATATACCATAATGAAATGACATTCAATCCATTCCCATAATAATCTTGAGAGATTGTAGGGGTAAACATATTAGACTAACTAGAAATTCTCTCTTCTGGATAACTTTTTTACATAGTAAGCATGCAGTGTTCACAGATAGAACCTTAGCAGGGGTAGACACTACCAAGTCAAAATGTAGTGGAGTTACTATCATTTTCAATCGATTAAGATAATCCTTAGATATGAATGAATGCGTTACTCCTGAATAAAAAAGTGCATTTAAAATGGCATCTTCAATTTCAAAGTCCCCTTGAATCAAGTTGTTGGACAGAGACCTTCCCTCTGCACTCATGCAATACACTCTTCCTTGAGCAGTTGGTCAGACAGTTTTGGCGGCATTAACAACTAACTCTACTTTTGAAGCTTTGCAATCCTTTTCCATATGTCCCCTTTTGTTGCATTTGAAGCATGTAGGACCCATATAAGGACACTCATTTACATAATGCCAACCCTCACCACACTGGTAGCAACGTATCTCTGGAGCAGCTTGAGTTCCCTTTACTCTAGTGTTATGATTTTCTATTCATTGAGATCCCCTATTGTTATAATATGGTCGTTGGTATGGCCTTACCTTTTGTTTACCACGTCCATGATTCTAAAAATTTGGACGATTAGGTCCTCCAAAGTTCTATATTTTCCCCACAATTTGCACTCCTATTTTTCATATCGTCCACCTCTCTGCATTTCTCCACCAATGGTTAAAAATGTTGTATCCTCAATGGCACCATCGATTATTGTAGTTCATACTTGATTCCTTCTTGGATATGGTGACACATGTAAACTTCATCCATTCCTTCCTTGAAGAATCGACAATACCTGGATAAAGTTTCAAACTTGGCGGCGTACTCACCTACAATCATACTTCCTTGACGAAGTTTCAGAAAATTGTCTCCTAATTTGGTCCTCGCACTTATTGGAATGTATTTGTCTAAGAATTTTTCCTTAAAGGCTTCCCAATTTACTTCTTCATGTGTGCATTCCATCATCAATCTAGTGCTCTCCACAAATACTCTGCATCGCCTATCAGAATATATGTGGCATAAAACACCTTTGCTTGTGGTGGACAATTGATTACCTAAAAGATCTTCTCAATTTCTTGTAACCATAATTCATCCGTCTCGTGAATAACATCCCCTTGAAATTTAGGTGGATCATGGTGGCAGAAATCAATTAATCCTCTTGATTCCCCAATTCATATTTCTCTATTCGCTTCTTCGAATCTCGAAGGTTCTTAGCAGTAGTTTAAACGATGACAAAAGTAGCCATATTAGCCATAGCTTGGGCCATTTGATCCACCTGATGGTTGTTGATCCCATCATTAATGTTGTCACGTCTCAGAGGCATAACCTTCCTACAAAACCAGTAACAAATTATAATTCTGATTTCCTGCTTCAAGAGAAATTATAATATATTGCTTCCAAGTCACGAATGGATGTAAAAATTTAACGACCATAAAGTATGGACACAAAGCCCTCAAACTTTGTCTGACAACTGATCAACTTAGAATACTAAACTTACAGTCCCAAAGAAACTTAAACCTGAGCTCTGATACCACAGTGTAACACCCTGATTTTTATACAGTGAAAGTGTATTTTTATTAAAGGTACTCTTTCAATAAATAAGTCAATTTCCACTTTATATATATATATATATATATATATATATATATATATATATATATATATATATATATATATATATATATATATATATATATATATATATATATATATATATATATATATATATATATATATATATATATATATATATATATATATATATATATATATATATATATATATATATATATATATATATATATATATATATATATATATATATATATATATATATATATATATATATATATATATAAAATCTTATATTATATAAAAAAAGATAGAACATAATAACATACTATATATATAGACTATGAAGTGTCACCAAACATAAAGTGCAGACAATAGATAGATTATAACCCATAATCTACAAAATAGATAGAAGTCCTTGGTAGACACTCGAGTAAGAGAGCTGCCCCAAGGAGAAATTTCCAACCTTGCGTAGTAAAAAGTCCCACAGCACCCGCCATATAATATCAAAATACTCCTACCACTCGCATACTCTACTACCTAGCTAAACTGATCGACACCTAATGGCAACCACAATATCCACCCGCCCCAACTCTATATAACCCACTACAATCACTAGTCAAAGTGTGAGGCATCCTCATTATCAACACTCTCAAAATCATGTTTCGAGGGGTCGTCAATATCACTGTCCTCTCCCTCGCCAACATCTAATTCCAATGATGGAACAAGTGTTGGGGAAAGGTGAGGGAGCTCGTCTACGGTAAAGTTATCACAAGTGAAATCCAAGGGGAATCCTAAGAATGTCTCTAATTCTAGGAGAGGCTCGAGCATACCATGAAAGAATGACTCTCCTCCATGATTGGGGCATGTGACGGTCTAGGTGGGGCGAAGGGGGATGTCAGCAATCCAAAATGATTAATCACTCCAGAAATGAAGCTGGAGATGATCAAATATACTGGGATTTGAAAGGATTTGAAAGGTGATAGTCCTTCTAGAGTACATGGTCTTCAGATCCATGCCAATGATAGTAATAGTCTCGAATATGTTCCTGGTGAACGAGACTTGTCTTAAGGCTAGGTCAAACCCCCAAGATGTCTCAGTCCATTCATCGGGAAAGTTGAAGTTCGTTGTCTTCGAGGATGGTAGATTCTCATGTCTCGAGAACATAATGATTTAATGGTGTATTCTTCCACACATCTACTGAAAGGGTCATCAATCCAAAAATAATTAATATACAAAAGCGGAACAGCAAGCATAAACAAAGGAGATATTATACATGGATAAATATCTCATTCTAACACATGTATATAATTATTTGCAAAAATAATACATATAACATCAATAAAACTAATTTCCTAATGCAACGTCTATATGTCGATGCACATGATTCCAGAATATCAATCCCTCTACAAAGGGTCGTGGTATCGCTTTAAGATTTAGTACCACTAACGCGATGGATATCTACACCATCAATTAGACTCAAAGATCCACATCAGGATAAGGTGGTTCCATTCTCAGAAACGCACACCCTGTGCCACCTCTTTGGTGTGTACCTCGTGACTCGTCTCCGGTAGCCACATAACTATGAAATGCATGAGCATACAATTTCCCACATATGCCTTTCAACACATGTGCAACATCACAACATATTATAAACATATGTAATAATTTATCTCACATGTAAAATCATTGCACATATATATATATATATATATATATATATATATATATATATATATATATATATATATATATATATATATATATATATATATATATATATATATATATATATATATATATATATATATATATATATATATATATATATATATATATATATATATATATATATATATATATATATATATATATATATATATATATATATATATATATATATATATATATATATATATATATATATATATATATATATATATATATATATATATATATATATATATATATATATATATATATATATATATATATATATATATATATATATATATATATATATATATATATATATATATATATATATATATATATATATATATATATATATATATATATATATATATATATATATATATATATATAGACACACACACACACACACACACACACACACACACACACACACACACACACACACTCACCCTCACAACTAGTCATGTTCAAAACACATAAGAAGATACAGAGCAGATATAGATATGAACATATATATATTTTATTATTATTGGAATATGATAAGTCCAAGCTTTTGATATTGACATTAATTTTGGTAAAACTAACTTGACAGCAAGATGTCCTAACATGAAGAACAAATTGAAGAACAAGATGTTGAACAAGATGTCCTAACAAGACGTTGTACTAATTTATTTCCAGATTTCAGAATATTATGGGAATATTTGTTTATCCTTGGTGGCATTCAAGATTGAGTAATCAGAGATTCTGATTGAATTTGAAGATATTGTTTTCTATGTGTGGAGACATTTTAGGAAACTTTGGATTGAAGAAACTATTCTTGAGGAGAATAAGTTGCAGATTCTGTGTAACAGAATTGCTGCGTTTTTGAAGCCCAATTCCAGTCTAGTTTATGGTTATAAATAGGATAGATTTAACCTAATCAAAGTGTGGAAAATACATTGTTTCTTAGTGATTTTTAGTTTTTGTGTATTTGTGAGCCTTTATTGTATCATGTTGATACTAGAGCTGGACTGTTTGCATTGAGTTGTAATTTCTGTCACTATTGTGATTGAAAGGGAATTGCGAAGGGTCTCATACCTAGGAGAGTCTTAGGTAGAAATTAAGCACGGGTAGTGATTCAGTGATAAGTTGTAAACCGAAGTTTGTTTAACTTAGAATTAATACTATCTAGTGGATTTCATTCCTAGCTTGGTAGCCCCCAGACGTAGGTGTTGTTGTACACCGAACTAGGTTAACAATTACTGTGTGTCCGTTTACTTTATGCAATTTTTATTGTGCTCCCTCTTGTCATTATGTTTAAAGCAGAGATCAAGTATCTCACATCTCTTAGGACATCTGGGATCTGCATACCAGAATTTCAATTGGGATCAGAGCAGGCATCCTGCTCTGTATCTGGGTGAGATTCAGGAAAGTTACTTTCTGGTGCAATGGATAAGGAAGGAAGAATATTGAACAGACCACCCATCCTTGATGCATCCAATTATGAATATTAGAAAGTGCGCATGGTGGCCTATATTAAGTCCATGGATGGTAAAGCTTGTAAATTTATGGTTAAAGGATGAGATCCACCAAAGGCTAAATACCAGGAAGGTAAGATTACTGATATGATAAAGCCTGAGGAAGACTGGGATGATGAAGATGACAAGCTAGCTCAGAGTAATTCCAAAGAATTGAATGCCTTATTAAATGAAGTGGACAAGAACATCTTTAGATTAATAAAGAATTATATTGTTGCCAAAGATGCTCGAGATACTTTGAAGACTGCTCATGAAGGAACCTCTAGAGTGAAATCATCAAGACTTCAACTTCTTATAACCAAGTTTGAGAACTTGAAGATGAAAGAAGATGAAAGTATTCAAGAATTTCACATGAACATTATTGATATAGAAAATACTTCAAGTGATCTAGGAGAAAATATTCCAAAAGCTAAGTTGGTCTAAAAAATCCTAAGATTTCTTCCAAATAAATTTGACATGAAGGTGTCTGCCATTGGAGAAGCCCAATACACAAACACCATAAAGGTGGATGAACTCATGGGATCTCTTCAGACTTTTGAATTTGAAATCAGTGAGAAATCTGAAAAGAAGAAAAGCATAGCCTTGGTGCCTAATCAAGATGAATGTGAACCAAATTCCAAGGAAGAATTGTCTAAGGCTGTTGTGCTACTTGGAAAACAGTACAACCAATTGTTAAAGAGGATGGACGGGGAGTCAAGATTAAATGTCAAGACTCAGTCATCCGACATCAACAAAAGGAAGGATTTTGGAAGAAGGTCCAAAACTGAAGAGAAAGCTAACAAAGGAAAAGGAATCCAATGCTATGTGTAGCGGCAAAGATTGTGAGTGTAACCTATTGATTAACTTAACTCAAAAATGCAAGAGTCGCCACTGCACTTTTATTTGTTCAAAAGGAAAGGAAAAAGAGTGAAAAACCTAAAGAGTTCTAAAACAAGAACAAACAGAGAATGGGTAAGGGGGTTGGTTACGCTAAGGGAAGGTGTTAGCACCCAAAAAGTCTATAATACTCTATAGGAACCCTTTGAAATATCTATGCTTTTTGGTTTGAAAGTATTTGTTTAAAATGAGACTGGGGAGATGAAAAGAGAAGTATTTTTTTAAGATTTTGTGTTTGGAGAGACTTATCGCCTCATGCCTACGTACCCATAAAGTGCAATATAGGATCAAAACCCCGTAGTTCATGGTACAAATAATAAAATTGGTTTGTTATGGTTGATTTTAATGAAAATACAAGTCGTCATTTCCAAGCGAATAGTTCCGCTTAAAGAGACGGCTCATGTCTAAACTTATGAAAAAGATTTTAAAAGAAAAAGTGCATAAGGCACAAAAAGAGTTTGAATGAGTTTGAATATTTTTTTATGTCTTTTTGAAAAGAGTCAATGTATGATTAAAATTGATTGACATTTATTAAAGAAAAAGGTTTGGAAAAGCACTTGACAAAGTCAAGGTTTATTGTGAAAGAGGTTATAGTTTTGAAAACAAGAAGGTCTTGAAAAGGGAGGAGATTTTGAAAATTTAAGAAGGGGTGAAGAAGAAGTGATTATCCTAAAGCAAAAAAAAAAGTTAAGGATAAGAACGGTCTAACCACACAAGAAAGCTCCATAATATAAACATTCTTTCTTTAAATTAGGCCTTGATCAAAATAAGTCTTCAAAAGAGAACTCCAAGTACCCAAAATCCAAGGTTTGATATCACAAGCTTCCAAGCATAGGTTAAGATCCTAATTCTAGGTCCAAAGTTCCATGTCCAATTCAAAGGATAGTAACCACAGTCCATCATTAAGAGAATAAGTTTTTTTTAGGGGTTTAACCTTTATTAGTGTTTTGAACAAGATATGGTCCAAGTGGACAAAATCAAAAGAGAGAGGAAACACAAACAATAATATAATATGAGATGATAATAATGGAGCATAAAAATAAAATAGAGATACAGAGTGAGAAGGAAATATAAACAAAATTAGTACAATAATATTGTTAGTGATTTAGTGAGTAGTTGTTAGAACAAATGATCAACGATGGTTAAATAATAAACTTAGGCCAAAGTTAATGAATACTCATTAGAGGATTGATAAAATCAAATCCTCTTAACAACAAGTTTCATAATTAATGGATCCAAGATAAATAATCAACCATACTTGGACTTTCAAATATAAGTTTGAGCCACGAATGATCATTTTCTGATACGAGACACATGTAATGCTATGTTAAGCAATCGTAATCAGACTTATGTAGAATCCATGACTATTTGAGGCCAGTCAATAATAATATTAGTGCTAATGTATGCTAGATAAGTGATATATAGACCACTCTCCGAAAAGCAATACCACACGAAAAGAAAAGAGGTAACAATCTCATCTTCATCAAGAACTTAAAACCAGCTCCAATGATATTGAAGATTTTCATTGATCAAAAGGAAATGAGAAATATATGAAGAAATGCCAAATTGAAACACACAAAGATGTAATCCAAGTCAAAGAAAATAAGGAAATGGAAGAAGAAAGAAAAGGAACCAAAACAGTCCAAAAACAAAGCCAATAAAACACATTATGCATTGTGCAAATCGATTGCACTAGTGTGAAAATCGATTGCACAACAAAAAATCAGCAATTCTAGGCAAAAAATACATTGTGCAATCGATTGCACTATAGGGTAAATCGATTGCACGCTGACAGGCAACAATAAAATTAGCATTTATAAGGCAAAACCATGATCAATCATTTCTTCAAAAATCTCATGATCAAGAATGCAATTGAGCACAAAAATACAAGTAAAACAATATCAAAAAACACCAATGAAACCCAATTTACAAGATCCAAAGATCAAGTAACAAGAATCAACCATATATCACATTGTGGAAGATAGACCAAGCACAACAATGATGGAACAAGGGTTTACCACTTCAAATATGAAAATGCTTCAAATCAACTTCAAGAAC